GAGAACATCTACTACAGTAAAATTAAAATTAAAATTAAAATTAAAATTAAAATTAAAATTAAAATTAAAAATATTTTTGAAGTCATTACACAACTTACTTCCTCTATCGTGTTCCCTGATGCTGTTGAACTCATCAATACAGCACAACCCACCATCTGCCAGTACCAGCGCGCCTGCCTCCAACTGCCATTCCCCAGAATCCCGCACAGCAGTAACGGTAAGACCAGCACTTGTAGACCCTATACCTGTAGTAAGGACTGATCGAGGGATGATCTTGGCAGCATACTTGAGAAATTGAGACTTGCCAGTGCCTAAAATAAAACGATTAATGTAAAGGTTGATGATATCAAGGTTGATTTGCCGGAATGAAAACGTGCCGCACAACTGTATATATCTAAGCCTCGGGAAAAGTGATGTATCACATGAAAGCTGTGCTAAAATAAATAATAAAATAACTTATTGGTTGGGAACGCGTGCTTTATGAGAGCACACAGCACGTGCTTGCACTTTCAGTTGCGTCATTCCTATCCAAAATAACGGCTATTGTAATTTGTATTTTACAAAAGAAATAAAAAACTTGCTTGCTGTACTGTGTGGAGTTATAAAGCGCCTGGGGATTGGCAAAACATTCGAGAAGTGTCGAGAAGCACTCCGCTACGCATCGTGATTCTCCTAACACTTTTCTCGTGTTCTGTCAACCCCCGCATGCTTTATAACTACACACAGCATGCGCGCGCGTTTTCTATCTCTTCGTCAATAGTGGGATATTGTAAATCGTACCTTCTGATTGGTTAAGATACTAGTAATGTATCATATAAAGGCTGCGCTAACTTAATAAATGATACAGACAAACTAGTGGAATATCATAAATCGTATTTTCTGATTGGCTAACGTACTATTGATGTATCATGCATTATAATTAAATAAATAATACAAATTAGTAAAATATCATAAATTTACGTTCTGATTGGCTAAGGTATTCTTGTGACGTATCACGAAGGCTGCGCTAAAATTAACCAATAGAATAGACAAACTATTCGAAAATTTTTATACTACTCGAAATGTTTTGTGTTTGATTACTGAACCTGGATATCGAAAGTTGCCGGCTATTGGTCTGACCTTGGCGTGAGCGTGTCCGCGCCGTGCTTATGTCGTGTTCCGGGTATTTGATTGAATGGAGAGTTCATTCTCGGCTCAAGCAATATGATTGGTCTGCCGTATCCCTTGCTGTGTCACGACCGTGTTTGTGCCGTGAGCTTTTCACAGTCATACGAAAACTGCTCAAATGCAAATGTCCTAATTGTTTAAATGAACACGAACATGTCGTGGAGTTTACCTGGGTCTCCAACCATTAGCATGTGAGATTCTCCACGAACTCGGGTTCCCGAATTATCGATTCTCTGTACGCCTCCAATCAGCACTAAGGTAACTGCAAGTTTAACTGCATATAAACCATACACTTGAGGACAGAAACTTGCCAGAATGTGGTTCCTCCCAGTAAGTGGAGCATTTTTATGTCGTCTCCAAAATTCATCAAATTCTTGTTTAATTTCTTCTGTTAGTATGACACCTGATCGCTGCTCGTTGTTCACAGACACGTGGTTGGCTTTGAAGACCACCTCGAGATCACACTTCACCTAAAATGTCGGGTTATGTACATATGTTTAAATCAATAGTCCATTTCACAGTTCCCTGCGCTATCTTGGAAGGTAGCTGTGTCTTTGCACCAAAGCGAGATGAACGGTGAGCTTGTAATGATAGAGACCTTTTTAACACCTTGAATTATTCACATGTCTCTATCATTGCGAGCTCACCATAAATCTCGCTTCGATGCAAAGGCACGGCTACCTTTCAGGATGGCACAGGGAACTATGAAGGGGACTATTTCCTTGATGTAGTTCTAAGGTTTTCAGTATATATATTTTCGTTTAGATACACTACAAGCACTCAATATTCTATACAACTTTCAACTCATTTTGATTTGATAGTTATAAAATTAATGGAGTTTTCCTACCTCTGGTATAATTGGTCTCCATCTCCTCATCACTACTCCGCATATCGTGACATCATCACCAGCTTTGCAGCAATCCACCAAATCATCCTCTAGCACCACCCACATTGACCGTGGGATTGTCCCAACAGCTAGCTTCTGTACCTGCTCTTGAATCTTCACTTCCTGGTAGTCACGACATCTTGTGGGTACTGAGCCTGTTACATTCAAGATTAAAAATAACATGACGAGGTCAAAACATTGGTCCGATGTATGGGCTTATTGTACTGGTTCAGGTAGTGTACCCCCTTGTGCTTAGCATCATACGACATGTGAATTTCTATAGAGAAATATCTTATCATACCAACTAGCATACCTTACAAAAGACATTACATTACAAATTTCTTTTGGATTCAAAGATGTTTGATTACAAATTCCAAGATGTTTGGGATGGGTGATGTAAATCAACCAATTATGGGGCTATCAAGGTTTATTAGAGGGGGATGCACTAGAAACCCTGGCATTGAGCATCTTAAAACATGATGAAAAAATTTTTTATTGGGTTTTACTCAGCTTAAAAATGCAGGAAACATTCCTGAATAGACCCCTTGCATGTGACATCAAAGCAGCTCAATAACAATCTCATGAGAATTGGAAAGCTATTGTTATGTCTGTAACAGGTCTCCCGGGAAGTGGAAATTATGGTGGGTTTAAGCCCGTGTAGGTCCCAAGGGAGAGGGTGTAGTGTACTTAAGAACAGAGCCATGTGCGAGTTGGTGGAAGTTGGGGATCTTGGCTGTCAAAGCGGTTGTAGGAAACTTTGAAAACTGAGAACGTGCAGTGTTCTACTGAACTAAGTAATTGAAGTGTTGAAACCGATAACCAAAGCTGAATAAACCAGAGGTTACATGTCCTCGAAATGGAGCTGCATTCCGATGCGCTGCAAGGGGTCTCTACACAGTAGTTGTTGGTGGCATGATTTCTAAGATATTTTTGATTCCTAGTATATTGATGTATAATTTTGCTCTTGTGGAAAGCATGCATAGCGATAGTGAAGCCATGGGGACTTCAGATTCTCTCCCCCTGCCCTCTTTTCACAAGGATGCCATTTTATTTTGACTTATTTTTGAGCTCTGTTCTGTAGAAAAAAAGGGATTACCCCCACACCTCCCTCTAAAAGTTGCTCCTTTTTACTCTTACATCAAAGTCTTACCTGTTTCTGAGAGCAATGTGAACTTGGTTGAATTACACTCATCAGAAGATGGACACTTTGTTGGTTTTGGAATAGCATAAAACTGTTCCATGTCTGCCTTGACTGAAAATATATGCTTGCAGCGTTTACAGATATACTCTTTCTCATGCTCTAACATTTTGATGATTGATACTCTAATGACTGTGCCTGAATGATATAAAACATTTTTATAAGTCTTGTTATGTTGGTGCCAATAAAACTGATGAGCAGATTTGTAGCACCACAACAAATGAAATTTTGGTGCATGTCAATCAAAGTGTTACCATGACGACATTATTGGGGAACAGTATTTTTTGAAGGCCATGTGCATATTTATATGGAAAATCATCTGACTGGTGTACATAAAAACCTACTTTATTGGAACAACAACTTGCTTGATTTTATTGAGAATGATAATAAGCAAGTTATCCTGTATTGGACTGCCTTGAAAAGACCATGGAAAAGGTGTGACGAGATTTTTGTCATCTTTTTGTTTAAATTAAATAATTTAATAAAATAGATGATCATTTTAGTTGAGTAGTATAAGTATTTACAGCCAGTAGTAATTTGAGTATAGAATAATGCATAGCAAATGAAATGAACAATGACTTTTACATCATTAATATGTAAATGTGTATATTTTATGTAAAATCATAAAACTTTGGATCATCGTTTATCTCTGCAAAGCATAAAAAAATTGGGATGGATACCCACACTGTGCATAATAAAAAACTATTCCTTAAGAAAATACTAAGCCTTAGATTTACTAGGTTTTCAAAGGGCAAATACATGTAACTTCTACCCTAGTTAATTCCGTGACCTTTTCTGCCTTTCAGTGGGTCATTTGACTTGCTAATCACATCCATGCATGTATTAGCTTTAAGACTAGATTTCAGTTTCAATTCTAAATTACCACGTAATAATCGTAATAAATTTTTGCTCATGAACAAATTATTGCAGGGAATTCTGCAATTCACAGAATATTTTCAGCTTAGGCACACATTTTCCCCATTTGATTTCAGACTATGCATCATTCCCTTGAGAATAATATTTTTGTTTTGCCCTATATCAAAACTAAAATATCTTCTCAAGCATTATTGGAAAACAGAAGAATGATATGTAAGGGAATGATGCATGGTCTGAAATGGGAAAAACACCAACATATCATTTTGCTTTACCTGAAATTGCCAAGAATTTCCCAATGTCTGACGACTTGGGTATAGTATTTCTCTTCAGCTCAGGACAAACTGGTAAGTTTGAAAGTCGAACATGTAGATTTGGTTTGAAAGACATATTGGTTGGTGTCTCTGTATCTTGCATGATTGTCATTGCTGCTTGGGCCAGTGCGCTGTCAAACAGAGGCATCGTCTTCGTTGGCTCAGCCAATAACCGTTGACTAACATGGATATTGGAATCAAAAAGTTCTAATGTGTTGACTACAACAGAAAAGTGCTCTGATGTATCATCTTGCAAAAGTATGTGTCTAATATCTTTTAGATGATGTTCTTCCAAGAAAGACTGTAAAACAGCGATAGTTTCTTCATCATCGTCCTCAGCGTCATCACCTCGATTCTCCTCCATGTTGCGTGCAATGTCTCAACGTTCACACAAGTTTACTTGATCTCTAAAGCCAAAAGAGAGAGATTCCTTGTTCCCGTATAAAATATTTGCTAAATTTTGTCATAATGAAATAAAATTATTGACTTCTGAACAAAGCAATTATGTATTTTTGCGACATTTTTAGGAAAAGTTAAAGTTAGAATTTGTTGTTCCCGCCAAACAGCAAATATTAGCAGGCGTCACTAGGAGTTGAACGAGAGAAACTGCACTCTACTTGAGTGAGTCCTTCTCGGCCATCGAAGAACGCCTGGTGTTAATTGTAAAACCCGCCATATTTCGTTTCGGAATGACAAAGATGTGGTAGCTATCTGCGCATTTCAAGAGCAGAATGTCTTTGATTGCTGTTTTTCAGGATCCTCCAGCTTCTGGAGACGTTACTCTTTGTGAATATAATACGCAGTATGTGTCTGAGGATTTTGAGCGAGCAGATCTCAAAAAACATGTTCCAGCCACTCATGTAAGTTTTGCGCCTTTTATCTGGAAATTCCGGAAAATGATAGTCAGTCCTACTTGTATTATAAAATGGCATAGCCTGTACTATGCATTTGTGTGTACTCCGTGCATTTATGGTTTTTATTTTCTCCAGGGTCTTGATTATCCAGTGATCAATATGGATAAAGAAGGAGTTAAGACGGCAAGAAGTTTGTCAAAATCAGCTGATGAAGACTGGAATCCTTTCTTAGCATGTTCAGAAGAAACAAATCTTTGGAAAAGGTTGTTTCATGCCTTGTAAGTAAGCAGTTTTCTGGATAGGGTAAATAACTGAGTTTTTTATGGTTGATGTATGATGGTGATGATGATGAAAGTGGTTTTAGACCACCAAGTGGTGGTGGTGATAGTGGTGGTGATAGTGGTGGTGATAGTGATGGTGGCAGTGATGGCTGCAGTGATGGCAATTGTTATTGTTAGTTAATCACATCATTGTTAATGCACTTCGTTAACCAACTGTTTCTTATACAGACCTCATTTGATAGCATAGGAAGAAAGAGAGATACAAATTTATGATTTTGAATTTTTGTTAGAACATCAAGAGGATTCATGGGAATGGTTCAAGAACTTAAAAAGAACAGAGATGAAGGTAAAACTCTGATATTTCAATAAAAAATAACAAAATTAACATTTAAATGAAACTTAGGAGTACAAAATACTCAGCATGTAGTGTGCACGTGTATAGCCCCTGTTGGTCAAACATGTACAATCTTTGAATTCCAACAGCACCCCAGTGGCTGACATTTCTTGGCAATGGTGTAGATTCTATATCTGGTTTCTGTGGTTCTTTATATGGCAAAGCCTTCCCACATCTTAATGTAAGTACAGACTGTCTGAATAGATTTCAATTTGTGTTTATCTAAAGGAATTATTAATACAGAGTATTTCAAAAAAGGTTGGTGAAGATTTTGTTACATATTGCACAGTTGGTAGCTGAAATGTATTATATTCATATGTAGATAATGCCAGGACTCTCAAAGAAGAAATTATGTTAGTTTGTGAAAATTTCATATTATTGTGACCTTTTGCTGATTGAGTTCACATAATGCATGCAGCTTGGGCTTGGTATACAAAATGTAACATGCAACAAAACTTTCACCAACCTTTTTGATACAGCTGTATACAGTAATATGTCAGTTAAGTGTTAATATCTGCCATATGAATTCATGTTATTGTTTATTTGCTAATTGAAAGACAATTTATTCATGTCAGCTTTCAAGAGAAGAAATGATAACAGCTTTTTCATCCATCTCTCACTGGTAATATACATACCTTCTTAACCATTCTTATATGGCTTATTTTCAATGGCACATTGATATGCAATAAATTCTTTCAATATTCAAAGGCCTAGTTCTCCTATAAGAGCATTTGGATGGCACCCTCACATCTCGAAGTTTGCAATTGCTTGGCAGGTAACATATAAACTCAAAATCTCTAAAATTAATTGAATTGAATAAATCCATTAATCATTCTGAGAGTGCAGGGCCCCTAACAGGTTTGGCATCCCAATTGATAAGAGAAAAGGTCAAAGCCTGAAGGAAAATTCTTGAAGCACACAGGAAAGGATAATGGTAGTTTAAGTCATCAAATGAGTCTTCACCATAGTAGCAAAAGTGATGAATTGGAAGCACCCAATTTCCCAAACTATTTTTTGCTTATTATTGCTTTTGTGAACTATTTTCTAGGATGATCATATTAAAGTGTACACCCTGAAAAGGTTAGTTTGCACCAGTTACAATTAAAAAATGATAGGTTTTTCTTTTTTCTACTTTCATTGTATAACCTTATCAGTATACCTTCCTCTTTTTTACTAGTACCTTTAGTAATTTATTTTATTATATTTGTTAGCAATATTGTTCCACTACTAAAGCACAGGCAACAGCAGGCTGTTACTTGTCTTGCATGGAGGTAAAGCTTTAAAGGTTTAGCTATTTTGTCATTAGATTATCTATCAAGGAAATATCATGTATTGACATTCACTGTGCTTTCATATTGAGCTTAAGTAACCTTAGACACATCAATTATCACTTATTTCAGTCTTCACAAGCCAAGGCATTAACTGTGTACATGTATGTCATTGCATTCACAGACCTTTATCAGCATCAGTGCTTGCTGTAGGTTGTAATACTGGTATCTTTATATGGACAGTAGACCCAACATCACCAGTCACTAGGTGAGTAGAAATATATGTAGTATCCCTTAAGATTACAATGTCACATCAAAGCCATCATGAAACATTCCATCAAAGTTTATGCATTTTTGGCATCTCTTTTTTTTACATGTATATAGGTTAGGCAGCAGCTCAGTTCGGCACCTTTCCCAACCATGTCATAATCCTGTTACCTCTATTTCATGGAGTCCAAATGGTCAGCTGTTGGTGTCTGGCTCTCCAGCAGATAGCACAATGATGGTAAAATTATTACCATTCCTTGGATATACACTCTTTGCATTCAATTTTGCACTCTTTGAAAGCACTCAAATATCATACATGGCAATATGCTGTGTCCATCAAATGCATACGTATAGCTGTATCATTGTGAGGCTTGCATTTTATGTGGTATAATTTATACATTTATGTAAAGTCCTAAACTTTGGACTTAAACTGACCACAGACATACATGTAAGCTCATTTAGATAACTAATAAATGTACTAACTATTATATACTTTACTTTATGTACCGGTATTAGGTTTGGGATGTGAACATGGAAACAGCTACACCTCTTTACAGAGCTGGTGGAGGAATCTCATTAACATGCTGGTCTCCTGATGAAAGAAAACTCTTTGTTGCTACCCCAGGTTCAATGTTCAGGTGTGGAAGTTCAGCCATCCATTCTAATCTGAATAAATTGATAAATAATGGATGGATGGATAGATGGTTTGATGGATGGATGGATGACTGAATGGATGAATGAATGAATGAGAATAAATGAATGAGAATGAATGAATAAGAATGAATGGTTAAATGAATGAAGTGTTAAGACAAAGCATAAAGTTTAACTCTTGAAACTCAGTAAAATCACCTATTTTCATATTTTTGTCATTGATTCTTTCTCTATCAAATTAATCTTCTTCAATCTCTCTTCTATAGAACTCCAACTAGTTGTCAACATCTGAAATAAAAACATAATATTTTTTTTAATCAAAATATAGAATTTGGGAAGCTCAGACATGGACTTGTGAAAAATGGTCAAATTTGGCAGGAAGGTGCAAGGTGACAAACATATCAGTCCTTGAATTTCTTGTTTGTATTATATAGTATATTGTCTGCCATGTACATTGAATTGTTGATGGGCAGAACGGAATTTGAATATTGTATACTACCTCACATTCTAGCTAGCTAACCATTAATTATCCTATTTTGATCTGACATTTTTAATATTTGAATTTTCAGAGTGCTTGTTGGAGCCCAGATGGCAGTATCATTCTCTTTGCTGTTGCAGAGGAACCAGCTTTGTATTCCTTGAAGTTCATTAGTCATTTTGCAGGTAACTCTAAATATTCCACCTGATAGCCTCAATATGTCGAGTGCTAGACTTGAGCCCCTAGAGTCCTGGCTGAGGCATTTAGATTTTTTCTTCAATTCATGATAACATTTTCCTTATTTTTTGTTGTTGCATGGTTTAAAATAGGTCACACTGTACAGTGAATCAGCCATTGGTGTGGAAATGGCTGTCAAAGCTGCAAACCTAACACCTCATATATTTTATTTAGCCATTTTTTCTGCATGGTTCTAAATAGGTGACACTGATGTACATGGATCAGCTATTGGTGCTCAAATGGCTGTCAAAGCTGCAAACTTATCACCTCATTGCTTTAATAATGGAGATGATTCAGTGACAGTCGGAGGTGTGGTTAAAAGCATGGCATGGGATCCTCTTGGGGAGAGATTAGCTGTTATTTTTGAAGGTTAGTGTGTCATTCACTGGGATAGGCTATAGATCTCTTTACCTTGGGTGTAATGCTTTCCCATTTCAGACCATGTGTTATTCTCTTGAGACTAAGATTCTTTGTTTGAGTTGTATTCAATATCATATCTTCTCAACATGCACAGCCATTAAACAAAGAAATGATTCTCTAGGGGATGATACAGTCTGTGTTGTGTTTTGAAGGGTTTGGAAAGAATATAACAGCTTCAAATGGGAAAACAGTACGTCCAAAAAAGGTCTATTTAGATGTCTGATGACCATTACACTGATTCTTGAAGTGAACTTTAAAAAACAGTATATGGCTAGCTGTATACAATGTAGCTTGGGAAAAGCTGTTTTTGCTGGCTGCAGAACATAAGTTTCCTTTAATGAGAACCGAGAATCAGGGAGGATCTGAAGTAATATTGAAGCTTCAGCTGTGGTTTAGGGGCACCTGAGAAACCCCCATAATCTATGTTATACATGAATAATGCAAATCTAAAAAAATATCCTAAAGTTTTTAAAGCAAATTAAATGTCATACTTATAAATGCTTTACTTGAAACATTTAAAAACATAGATGATGATGGCAAAGCCCAAGAAATAGTTGCTATATTTAAGACAAGACTCAAGCCAACATTTGAAGTTATTCCAAGGTTTGCTTCTGAAACACTATTATTTGCAACATTAAATAATCATAGTATCTTTGAGGCTTTTGCGTTCAGACATGAAATTAGATGTAAGATTACTTGATATCAAGAACAATAGTGACTCTGACTGCCTTTACCATGACAACTGCATCAGAGAACAATAGACATGTCACTCATTTATTGCTTCATAGTCTCTTACCATGCTTTGTTTACATGTACGTGCTTCACACATTTTTATCATCATTCTGATGAAGGCCATCACTAGTTATAGCTGAAACATCATGTTCTTAAAAAATCTATGGGATTTATCCGTAATCTTACATTTAATATTAATAATAATCATAATCATTTCTTACTTTAATAAACATCTCTGGTAATTTCTTTCTCAACAGTGGTTTTGTGAGAGGACCTCCTGATTCCTTTCCTGAACTAGTTGCATTCCAACAGAACTTTAGTAAAGGAGCTCTTCTAACTGTGGTAAGACTTGACATTGCAAATCTCTAGGCATTGAGCCACTTTTTTCACTAACAAGGGTTACTTGGTGTTAAAACTGGCATACAGTACCCCCTCCTAAGTGACACCCATCAAAGATTTTCAACATGTGAATAGATTTTATTGGATGTATGGTCTGCCTTACCATGAGCTAAAGAGATTCAACACTTTTGCCAATAACCTGATTGAAACAACCTGTGAGTTGATCAAAGTCAGAGCACAGCTGATTCATAGATCAAATAGGAATTTAGCATGTTAGGTGTTGCAAAGGGTGGAAAAGTTAAGAAACTGAAAAAAAGCCTCAAATAGGCAAGGGATAGACCCACAAACACTACTGCCTCATATATGATAGCAAGTCCAGGAATTGAACCCAAGACACCAGGGGTGAGAGTAAAGAACATGTCATTGCTGTTCCACTCTTGATTCCCTTTGTTGTCTAAACAGTTAAGACTAAAATCTAAGACTAAGTTTTAATCAAACTTGTTATAATCATAGGGATGGTCAGATGGAAGCATTACCTTTGTTCCACTGTTATTCACATCAAGCAAAGACACCCACCCAGTTAGCCATCATGCTCAAAATGGAGTATTCACTAATGGTACAAGGATTAACTAGATATGCAGTGTAGTATTTAAAATTTAGCGCTAGCATAATATATATGTGTAAACAGTGTTTCCCTCAAGTGAAAAAATGGCAGTTAAATTGTATTTCTATAACTGAGTCTGAAGCTTATAGTGGGGGAAAGTTGGTTGTGTAATGATGGTGAGCCTTAACTCCCTTCGGCTTGGGAGGGATATGTTTCCTCATTATCAGACCACATTACTTCTTTGTTTTTTGGTAACATTGGAGTAGACTTAACAAACAATGTTATTCCCAAGAGAATGACAAGACAAGTATCTATTGATTTACACTGTTAAATCATGTTCGATCACCCTTGTGGTACTGCAATTTAAAGGCGAACGCGATCATGGTCATGTGACAGAGTTTTGAGTGTTACGTACAGTACAGTATAAGACAACAATCTTATTCCCATAAGGAAGGGATATTTACAGCTGACAGAGCAAAATGATGAAAGATATGATTTTATTGCATCACAACTATGATAATATTTTGCTAATAAATAAATGTATGAATGAAACTAAGTGAACTTACCAGTTAACAACCAGCAATAAGTGTATTTTTGTGTAAATTTAAAAGATTTTATAAATAACGAATAAAATCGTCATTAAAATGTTATAATTTATAATTTTTATTCTACATATTTTCGTTTGTTTCTTATTTTTTAATTTATGCATTTTTTTGCGAAAATTATTTATAATTCTATATGTTAAAATTTATTTCCCCCGAGAATCGAAAAGACAATATCGTATCCTTTCCATGCCATTTGTCCAGAACAGGTCGTATTGCATCTAATTCATAATTTATTTTTATAACTGATATTGTTTATTTGATCTTTTCGTTTGTCAAATAAGCAGCTAAGTAAATTTATAGCAGAATGTAAAGCTTTGAACTACTATATTTGTTTTGACTGCAGGCTGACAACAAAGAGCATGTAACAAAGTTTGCTTATTTCTTCGCGGCTCCGTAGTTTGTCTTACGCTGCCTTGCCTTGGTATTAGACACACTAACGCCATTAGCTTTCCCATTAGTGACTTTTCCATTTTGTGAGGCAGCTTCATTTGAAACGGCGTGTTTCTTACGTTTCTTTAAGATAGTTTTAGCGATAGCAGGAGATTTACGTTCGGGTTCATGTAGCTTTGAGTCGATAGCGATAGCGATGAGGGTCCCAAAAATAGGAGCTATCCAAAACACGAAGAAATGCTCTAAAATGTCTTCTTTTGCGTCTGTAAAAAGGAAAGTGTGGACAGTGGCAAATACTGGGTTCATCCAAACCCCCGTGGTACCAGTTAAAGCATAACAAATCAACACGCAAGCGCCGGCACGAACCAATGGATTAAACTTCCGAAGGCCTCCTCGAGTTAGGAAATCAATCATGGTCAAAACAAACGTTGCCGTTATTTCTATTGAAAATCCAACTAAAACAGAGACCTCAAGACTCGATGATAAGCCTCTGCTTAGCTGTTTGAAGTGGATTTCGCTTGCTGTAGATTGCCATACGAGTTTCATGAAAGGAAAAGCCAACAAAGCGCCAGTTAGCTGAGAGCTGACTTTAGTTACAAAATCTACAACCCATGATCGACGTACATCTCGTCTCACGATTCCTTCAAGCAGTCCACACGGATTTGCCGCCTTTCTGTCCAGAATATACTCTGAGTTCTTCAAGAAGAGGAACGTAAAACTGAAGATAAATCCAAGTAAGTTGCTGTAGTATTTCCCAATGACCGCGATTTCGAAAACGCCAGCAGAGAACTCGAATGATGAAATCAGTTCACCTACATAGTGGTGGTGTGGTGACCTACGAGGGATGATCTTTTTTAGAAGGAAGCGTACTGTTTCACCGAGGACAAAAGCTCCTATAATCGCCGTAAATGACCAAGCTAATGGCATCTTGCTTCCATTCCTTGTGAGGCAGAGGCTATTTCGCGAGACTCAAAACGACATCCCGAAAATGACGTCACCTTCGTGTTCCCGACAGATTCGCTCCGTCGTACCGACTCGTGACGTGACCAAGAACAAACAAGATGACGCCGATGCGTTTCTACTACCTTTCTCTGTGCTTTTCTTATAGCTTTTCTTTTCTTACATGAGGACT